AGCATTCATTGCTTTATATTTGACAAACGAGAGCATTCATTGCTTTATATTTGAAGGGGGGGGGGGCTTCGATCATGTTGAACACGACCTCACCCTTCGCAATCTAGCAGAGTTGCATTGTGGAACTCGAATGTATAACTACATCTGACCATTTCTTCGTGATCGAACGACCACTGTGCAAATGGTCTCGTACGAGATGGTCTCGAGAACGGCCTCGAGATGGTCGTACGAGATGGTCTCGAACGGTAAATGGTCTCGAACGGCCACTGTGCATCGGTCTCGTACGATTCACCTTGCAGAACGTGGGACACCACAGGGCTCCGTTCTTTCTCCTACATTATTTATTAACGCACTGGCAGGGCTTCCCCGTTTGCTCGACCAGATCCCCGATGTCGCTCATGCTATTTATGCGGATGACATCACTATCTCGTCGACACGGGGCTCTGATGGAGCCATCCAGTACCGACTGCAGAAAACAGTGGATACTGTCATTGAGTACCCTAAAAAAGGAGGCTTGCAATGTGCTCCTAAAGAATCAGAGCTCATCGTCTTTCGCTCCCGAAGCAGTAGCCCTCCTCCCCCAATTATTGTGCACCTGGATGGCATACCCATACCACATGTCCCTCGTGCCCGCATCCTTGGACTACATGTTCAAGCGGATGACAAAGCAAACTACACCTTTGGCCTTTTATCTCGACAAGTTGACCAAATACTGTCCATGATCCGGTGGGTTTCAAATCGGCGCTCAGGGCTTGAAGAAGACCTGCTGCGCTTGGTGGAGGCCTGCGTGATCAGCCGGCTGACATATCACTTGCCCTTCCAGCGGTTGACCCAATAGCAACAACTACGCATAGACGTCATGATCCGCAAAGCGACAAAGCTGGCCCATGGCGTTCCAAACCACACTTCTACATGTCTTCTTCTTGAGTTGGGGACACACAACACACTAAGCGAGCTGATCGAGGCAGATTGGGTCAATCAGCGCCAATGCCTCATACTCTCACCTACTGGCCGCAATCTCCTCTCACGCCTCGGATATCCCGTCCCACCACTTGAGATTGAAACCTGCCCCACGCCCTTATCGTCTGCGATACGGAAAATATCAAGTGTTGATCCCTTACCACGTAACATGCACCCCCAACATGACAAGGGCCGGCGCAAATCCCGCGTACGATACCTCAGCCGTATGCTCGAAGACATTCCGGAATCGCATACTTTTCACATGGACACAGCCCGAATTCGCAAAGGTTACACCTCGGTATAGTGTTAGATGGCACCGATTCCTTTCAGGACTCAGCTGCAATGCGTGGGACACATGCCGCTCACGGCGAAATTTTTAGAGTCAATCAAGCGATACGATACGTTATCCGTGTTCACAGTGAAGTCTACATATCGACGGACTCGCAACAAGCATGTCGGGCCTTCTTATCAGGACATAGCATCCCAAGAGTGGCCCACCAAATTCTGAATCAAATTCCGTTGAGTCAAACAGTACTTTTCGCGTTCAGTTACTCTGGACTCCTGGTCATGCCTCTGCCGGGCAATGAACGCGCACACGCTGTTGCCCGCGAAATTTTCGTCCAGGCGACCCGGCAAGGCGAGGCGACCATTTCGGAGTGGGGGATCCTCTTCTTACTTACAACGGCATTCTTCGTCACTACAGGAACGTCCATCGCACTTAGAGCTCCCCACCGCCATCTTTCTCGTGAGAGGAGGCAGTATGCGTTACGTCAGCTACAGACAAACATATCCCAATCTAGTATCACTTCATAAATTCTACCCGCAGTGCTATGCAGACCATTGCCCCGACCGTGGAAACTCGCCCACGACCTTCCATGTCTCGATCGAGTGCACTGCGAACATCTTTCCTCCCTTACCTGCTTTCCTTTCCCCTTTACGTAACGAGGAGCTGTTAGATGATGCTCTCTGCGATGGAGCTCCCGAGGTCCTCCAAGCTCTGATACAGCGGGCCCGGCTCATCGCTGGAGTCGTCCTAACGACCCCGGACTAGGGGTCCCTCCCACGCCCTCATTCTCTATGTCTTTGTGAACAAAAACGTTTCTCTCTCTATATATACTTTGAACATCCATGTTGCGTCGGAACCTGCCGGTGCACAGTTTCCCTCAAACCTGGCTGCGCTGAGAACCAACGTAGAACCAACCTGTAGCATCACCTAGCTAAATCCTAGCAACGACATACAGCAGCAACCTCTAAACGATCTGCACAACCCGGGTTATAGGCCTAGAAGCAACCCAGAAGCAACCAGGTAAATCTGTCTCCAGAATCGTAGTTTCCATGTTTCAAGTCTTGCATGGCTTGATGCAAGCTGTTTTTTTTTTCTTCAGAGCCATGCTGGTAGCAGCAAATGACACCGGGAATCATTCAGGAATGCGAGTTTTTCTTGAATGACTGGCAGGCGGTTAAATTGTTGAGGATGCATGGTTACACTTAAGTAGCACGACAGAGCATGAACGAAGAGACAGGACAATTGAAGCTACAACGCATGCGCTACAACGCATTGCTCGCGTTGAGTCCTAGCTGCCACGCTGTCAAAGCGTGGGAAAGCGTATATACATATGGTGGTTTTGGAACGTTAAACCCCGCATATCAATCATATCAATGAAAGCGTAGATACAAATATCTACGTTATTTTTATCATTCAGCAGCAGAATTCTTCTAATGTCTGCTGCACACAAAGGACAGTTTGCAGTAATCTGCAAGTCCGCTTTCCTGTAAGGCTTGTTTTCAACCAAAAACTCTCGTTCCCAGACTGCTTTTCTCGCTCCATTGTGTTGTACTCGCGTGCCATCGGTGGAATTCGTAGAAGTGACATTTTGTTGTACTCGCGTGTTTTCGCTGCACAATGAGCGAGAAAAACAGTCTGTGAACGAGAGTTTTTGGTTGGAAAACATGCCTTACATGAAGGCAGACTTGCAGATTATTGCAAACTGTCCATTGAGAAGACTAAAGAAAAAAAGGTTAATCAGCCAAATTAGGTGTCCAACAGCAATTAGTGTATTATCCTTAGTCTGGACAAACTTCCACTTTGAAAGCTTTTTTTTCGTTCTTTCTTTAAGGTAACTCCAACAACTTGCCATGAAGTGCAAGCACGTATATCTGAAGCCGAAAACAATGCCCAGTAGATAAGCGTGAAAAAAAAAAGAAATTGGCGCCTGGTATGCACTAAGGAAGCGTGTATTCTCCCCAAAAGATTGTTGCAGCTGATCATGCATTAAAGGACGTCATGTCAGTAGTGACGTATACAAAAAAAAAAAAAACGCCAGACCTGCGCGGAAATCACAGCACAATCACAGCCAAAGCTGAAAGAGCGGCCTTTCAGACTGTTTTCTAAACACTCATTGGGTGACTGCTGCAAGCACACTTGCTTGATGCTTACTACGGCATTAATAATAAAAAATTTAGGGTAGTAGGCCGGCATTCGCTATGCTATTTTTTGTCATTTTTTTTCTGAGAAACGTAATATCCACCAAACACTTGCGCGGAATTATGTGCCAATTGTTCATGCAGTGGCTGACGACGATGAGGAATTATGCCTGAAGTGGTTATGCGCCACAGTCAATAGCTGAACAAAAACAAGCCTTTGTAATAGGTTCGAGCATTGGACTGCACACTACTCGTTACGCTATTCGCATTGTGCGACGATTGCCTGTTTTTTCGCTGTTTTACAACGCTTTATAAGTCGTATTAACGCAGCTGCTTTCGCAACATCAAGGCAAGTTCCAAGCATTGGCGTGGCTCAGTGGTAGAATACTGGGCTGGCACCCAGCGGAACGGATTTGAGCAACACTGTGTCATAGGTACTAGTTTTTTTGTTTTTTTCCCCTAATCTCGCGCAATGTGCTTACGGACACCGGCGACGGCGGGCAACTAGGCACTGCGCGAAACCCGAGTTGTTATTTCATATCAGCTTTCGCTGTAAAAGTTGAACGCAGTTAATGAACGTCAGATACATGAAAACGTTTGAGTATGTTACGCTATGCGTTTGCACGAGTTTTTCGCTCTTACTCAGCGTGGTACAGTGCTGCGGTCGACATTGAGCCAAAAGCGCAGCGTAATTGAGACGACTGCTAGCGACGCAACACCAACGCTGCTTGACATAGCATGCAGTCTATTCACTGGCTTTATGGATTCACTGAAGGGTCGTTTAGCGTTGTGTAATGTCACCCGATTGATGTTTCTGCAGTAAACCGATTCCGTGGAAATCCTGCTACCAAGATTAAGTATCGATTTCACGACCCCTAGAAAAAAGAAAGCGTTCGCGTAAAAGCAAAATAACTCTGTTCCCGCATCATTCCTGTCAGCCCTTGTTCTTTTGGTGCACTATAACTTATGCAAGTAATCACGAATTGCCAAAAAAATGCTCAAGCATTTGCCATTTCAAGTAAGCCAGAAGAAGCTCTGCGAGCAGCTATGCACTTGAAACAACGCCAAAGCTGGAAACGAGGTGCACGCAGTGAATTCGACACTAAGCACTAAACTATAGCTTTCATGCTTAAAACACTTGGTCTCGCGTTTTTTTTCTCGTTTGTTTAGTTGTCTCAGGGCCGTATTGTGTAGCCGTGGGCATGCAAAATCAACTTCACCTCAAGTCAACACCCGATGTGCTGCGATTCGAACAGGCCAGTGCTTGGCAAGTCCGCAGAATGCTCCCACCCATCCATCGGCCACAAATTTAAGCGAGGTCGTGAAGGGAGAATAAATAAGAAAAAAAAAAGAATGCTACTGTAGGCCCACGACCTCAAACCTGAAAACAACCGAACGACGCGGATGCGACTACGGCACCTCCCCATTCGATGCGAAAACAATTCGCTGTCCGTCCGCACAAACGTTGCTCGTAAACGTTCCCAAAAAACAACCGATAGCCTTCGCACACGACCACAACTTTAATCGAGATATATTCCAGCCGATCTCTATAAGGTCGACCTCGCGAACCCGAGGCGAGACAGGATGGGAACGGAATGTAGGAATCCGGTACTCACGGGCTAGCTTCGCAGGTCCTCTCGTGGGGTCGCGAAAGCAGCCGGCATGGCAAGCGATTGCTTCAACGGGAGCCGATAAGCGGCGGCAGGCTGTCGCAGTGCGTGACGCCTGGCGAAGGACGGTCGCACTATGCTATCTGTGAGCGACAAGAAAGTAAATGTCGCCGGAACATTATCGGCCCGGCCGGCGAACCCACAGAAAATACGAACGAGACCAGCGCGGAATGAAGCAGCCGGGCACAAACGGCCTCTCCGCGTCACCGAAGCTGTTTGTCGCGCCTGTGCCATTCTTAGCGCCCGCCGTGTGACGCTTGTTGCGTCAAAACTATCAGCTTCGCCGGGATGGCGGGAGTTTTATTAGGGCGAAATCCTGAGATGCCCCACGAAACGCCATAAGCGACCATCGGCGTCCAACTGGTGATGCAGAATATCACCACGTCATGATGTACCCGTGTGACGTCACCACGACGTCAGAGGTACCAAACTGTCGCGACGTATGGCGTCACTATGACGTCGCATAACGTGACGTTAAATGACGAAGTTATCCCATGACGTTATTCCTTGGTCAAAGGAGGGTGAATCCCGGAAGCACGGTGAAGCCACGTGACGTGCAGAAAACTTGCGATGACTCGTCTATTTATGCAAACGCATTAATAAGCGCACGACTTTTTTCTTGCATGCTGTATATTTGAAATTAAGCTGTCCGCAACATAGTTGCTGAAAGTCTGTTCGATAGATAGATAGATAGATAGATAGATAGATAGATAGATAGATAGATAGATAGATAGATAGATAGATAGATAGATAGATAGATAGATAGATTCGTCTCAAATAACTTGAAGCATCCGTTCCTGGTTGTTCGAAAGCTCCGAGGTTTTATAGGTGTCCAGTTACTTGAACGTGATGAGCAGTGTAAATAAGTAATTGTTTCCGCCCACACATTCATAATGAAATTTGTTCAATAATAACAAAACTAAATAATCTTTTAATGCTGTTTCCTACAAATCACGGTACCTTCAAGAAATCACACCTTGGTCTGCTATTTCATGCAATCATCATAGTAGCCAGGTGCCCCGATGCGCGTGGGTGCAATGTGTCGAAGATGGGGTCATGTAAGAGCTGCAGGTTGTTTTGGAACACCCCTACTGCCCCGCCGCGGTGGTCTAGTGGCTAAGGTACTCGGCTGCTGACCCGCAGGTCGCGGGTTCGATTCCCGGCTGCGGCGGCTGCATTTCCGATGGAGGCGGAAATGTTGTAGGCCCGTGTACTCAGATTTGGGTGCACGTTAAAGAACCCCAGGTGGTCAAAATTTCCGGAGCCCTCCACTACGGCGTCTCTCATAATCAAATGGTGGTTTTGGGACGTTAAACCCCACAAATCAATCAATTGGAACACCCCTACTGATGTCTTATTTTCCGAGAATTTCGGTGCAGCTGAAAAAAAAGCTCATATACTCACTGCACTCTTCCTTCGTCAATGTGATTAAGCGGATTTAGAGTTGTAAAGCAAGAACAAAGAAAGAACGTTTAATTCTAGGCGGGCGCATTACCCAAGACGGGTGAGTGTTTAGGCTAGATGGATAATATGAGGAAGTTATTAAAATTTATCTGTAAATAGACCTAATCCTGTGCAAAAAAACTGTTAGCCACAACATGAACTGTAACGTAATGGGAAGCGCGAGCACGGTGAAACAAGATTTTCCATGCTGTCGCCAAATAATATATACTTACCAAATTCGTCGAGACGTGTTAGCGGCCTATAATCATAACGTTGACGATTCAGATTAATTTCATACGGTGTATTGGCTGTACTCTTGTGCGCCGGTATCATCTGTACATCAGACGAACGGCGCTCACGTGAACTGACGAGTTCAAGAAAGGATCATTGGTGCACAGTATACAAGCTTTTATTCGAGGCCTTGTAAATATATTCGAAAGGAAAAATAGAAACAAAAGAAGAAGACCGACAGCTAGGCATAATCCTGTGTGTTCATGCACAGTTCAGTTTGAAGAAAGAAAGAACAATAGAAATGACACTCAGTCATGCCATAGAAAATGTGAGAAGACTCAAACTTGTGGAGAGGCATTGTGTGCTCCGCTCACCACGCAAGAGAGGGAAACAGACGATGAAAAAAAAGAAACAAAAAAAAAACATCGGAGTCAAAATCAGTGATATAAAAATGGTCAGACGACGTCATTACACTGTTTCGGCGTAACGCGCGTGTGCCACTGTCACCCTGCATTACCGCCACGCAGAGATCCAGAGCCCAAGTAGCGACATCTCGTGGTAACAGGTAGCGCCCCCACGCAGCCTTACGTATTCGAGGCTGCTATCTTGTTGCACAGCCAGCACAGCGAAAATTTTACCTGCACCTTGATCTGTTGATCTCTAAACGCTCAACGAAGGGTGCGTATTACGCGATAAAAATTGATTAGCCGTTTCACTTCGGGAAGGTGGATGACTTACTGGATAGGCCTTACGTGAATACTCGGTGTCGTGAATACTCCGCTGCCTGTACTGTTTGTCATGTTCGGAGATAAACTAAAAAATCGACATTCGTACATTAGTGATAATGTTCCCAAACAAAACAGCGCAGCACAACAACTATCGACAGTGCACCATTTTGATTGCTTCGTTTGCTATGTCAACGACGCAAAGCTGCCTTGCATCTCTCCAACGCACCTCTCCACATGCTACAGCAGCAAAACGCGTGGCTAATTTTTTTTTAGAGCGCGACATTTTGTAGTGCTAACTCGGCTTAACTAGGCCTAGTTGAACAAAGCGAAAGCAATTGTGTTTCTGCGGTTCCTATCATACTGTGTAGTTGAACTCGAGATGTCGCCACCAGACACTGACGTCAACAGACGCGCATCGCCAATGCGGTAATGTGGATAAGGGTAGCACCTGCGCGTCAAACTCTTTACAAAAAAAAAATCTATACACAAAGTGAGAGACAAAACAGAAAGCAGTGGGAAGGGGATTCGTTCGACACGGGTTATAAATAGTTTCACAGACAAAGAGTTCATCTCCCCGGATCGCGTGTCCAAGTCTCTCCCTTCTTATATATATTTTGATCGGTTAAACTATGTTACCAGATGGATGCACATCCCCGGAGGTTGCTTAGGAACTGGAGGAGAAAATTAAAAAAAAATACACGAACACACACGCGCACGCACTCAAGCACACACTGTTGAATGACTAGAACTACAGACCTCCGCGGTGTTTTGTTATTTTTTTCTCCTCCTGCAAAGATAGTACAAAAGAGAGCTAGAAAAATAACCGAGTGAATACAAGAAAACGCGTCCGCAAAGCGCAAGTTAGAAAAATCCACACACAAAAAAAAAACCGACCACTGACACACGTTTCATGTCGACGAAGGCGTCAACGAAATGTCGGTCGATACATTTATTAGAAATTAGAGAGCTATTGAACACGTTTCTTACGCAAGCACACGTTTTTGGCGCATTTGCAGAATCGTGACGGGTGTGACGCTGCTGGGTTAAAACTAAATGATCGTGTATCATTATTTTTTTTATTTCTTTGATAAGGCTTGCGTGCCGTTTATCTGCGTCATCTCAAAATATGTCGACTCATATTGTACTTTGTATATTGCGTTTCTATTCACGGCACTCTAGCATCGCCAAATACGTACGTGTACTCGCGAACGAAGACCGTATATACGTGAAGCAAGCGCCTTTTGAACAACCTGCTTATCAAATACGTTTACGTGTCTTTTCCTTTAAAACCACATTCGTAGAACACGCCTAGCTTGCGATGATTGCTTTTTCCCTCTCCTATTTATCTTTCTTCGCTAGCAGCGTGGTATGACATAATTTCGTGCCATAAACATCCACGCAGCAAGGAAGAATATGTAGCTATCTGTGACGGAGGACTCACTCGATTCGATGTAAGCGCTCATATGGAAAAGCGCAATGTATTGCCACGTTATATTTCTGGGAATAGCACGTGCTCTTGTGTGAGTATATACATACCCTCATATTAAAACTTGTCCTTCTTAGCTTGAACGTTCAAGGCAAAAAGAAGAAAAAAGAGAGAAAATTGAAATTTTGAGAGAGACTGTTTTCAAGCAGTCTAGCGAAGGCTTCGAAGCTTTTCATCAGATCCCAGAAACAATGTAGACGAGGGCCGTATCATAGTAGCCACCAGTGAACGCGTCTGGGCTTATCGAAAGCGGGGACTTACAACTGGTCGCTTTGCGCAATTGCTTCAAACAAAAAGTATCACACTTTACTGGACGTGCTTGGTGTAAAATTTGTAAGAACTGACCCCCATCGGATGTCATCGCTGTTTATACAACTGAATGTGTAGATGCTGATGAATATACGATTAGGTAGCTTTGAGCGAGAGGCCAGTGGTATCCGCTAATTAAACAGTTCTAATGAAGAAAAAAAATCAGTCCATTTGATTGCAGGTGTCTCCATTGGGGAATGACACGTTTTATAACGCAATTGGTAACGTTTTATAACGTATACCAAGTGCACGCCGCAGTGGTCATCAGAGCTTACTCAGCGTAGAAAGAGATGCTTATCAAAGAAGGTGCAGGCAACACCGTTTCACGAAGGACTGATGCTGAATGAAATTGAGCAATTACTTTGTTAACGTGGCGTATTGGACAAAAGAAAGGTCAAATGAAGTACATTTGGCTTAAATCGGTAGTTATTGCCCATCGATCGCAACGTCTTTCTTTGTGCGCTGTTTAGACGGCTTGAACAGTCAGGCGCTGGCAACCTCCCCCTACCAAGAAAGAGAATTGTGCCCACACAAGCTGCTCATGCGTTGCGCGACAGAAGCAATACGCAAGTGAATGCAGTGATCGAACTCACCCATATTCCTTTTCCTTCGCTCGCACCGTTCAAATTGATTAACCTAAGTAGAGCTAAAGTGGCGTTGCGAAGAACGACGACACGCGGGAATGTGGCATCGCTATTCCGAACATTGCGTATGGTGAAACAGTTGTGGAAGGAGACGAAGTGAGTATGAAGCCAACGAGAAATCCTATCTAACCCTCCCCCACCCCGCCCTTACTTTTCTTTTTTCTTCTCTCCTTGGAAATTCCAAAGAAGCGCACATTTGCAGGCACGGTTAAATCATGCCAACTTTCAACACACGTCCCACGTTATTGACACTTACGAAGAGGGGACTCGCCAAGACGATAACGTTATACAAGGGCAGGCCACGTCGCACACCCACACACACGTCGGCGGAACGTACTCCGCGCCTATGCAGCGACGACGACTCACAACCTATCACACGCTCGCTTACATCAAGATGTTGCCTATTATAGCCCTGGAGAAGAAGACGCCTTTCAAAAAAGAACTGATATAACTCCGTGGTTTAGCGTACGTGAAATACCAGCTGGGGTTGATTAACTTTGGCTAAGGGATACTTCATTCAAGGGGTCCCTCGAGCCTTTCGAGAATCCCGGAGATAGAAAACGAAAGCTTGTAATCGAAATTGTCTGGCAGTCGAGCTTTGAAAAAAAAAAAAAGTCACAGTATATGCGCCGACATCATCATCAAGGTGCACCTTTCAGGTCTTGGCAGTGAGAAACGGGCCGCCCTACCGTGTGCTGTCCACGCGCACCAAGCGACCGCCTTTCGCCAACCGATCGCACCTGGCAACAGTCTGCACTGACGCAACTACGGACGTCTCCTTTTTTTTTTTAAATAAAAAACTGTCCGTAGAAACTACAGCGAGGATAATCAATGCAGGCCTCTTGGAAGGATGCGTTGTAAAGACCAACACTGTGTAGTTTTGCGCGCTCCATCTCAGCAGCTTCGCAGGACAAGGACATTAAGCCAACTCGGAAGAAGAGCGTAATGCAGTCAGCATGACGACTTTGTCGTTGCAGAGTTCTATAAAGTTCTAATTAGCCAAATTTCGCTAACTTTGTCATCTCGCAAATGAGCTCTTTATACAGAGGGACCTGGGGACCTGTACTTTGTTGCACGGGGATTGACAAGCCCCCGAGCTCGTGCAACTAACTTGATATTCACCAGGCTTGACACTCAGGAGTTCAGGGACCGAAATAATGTTTCACGAGCTCGGTGTGCGGCAGCTTTGTTTGTACTAATGGCTCGCACTTGACGTCATCGACGCAGGCTCCTAGCGTACTGGTGTTCCCACATGGTTGCATTGATGACATCAATGAAGTGTCAATCACGTGACAATTAACCTGTTTCAATGTGATAGCGACGTCGCTCCATGGAACGTTTTCGACCTGTGTGCATGAACAACAAAAGAATGCGTTTTACTGATCACATTAACGCGAAATCACAGACCATTGTCGGCATTCCGACAAGGCGGCTTCAGTGAGGTCAGTGCAAGCCAATTATATGCACAGCTGAAGAGACGGAGTGCGCGCAGATCTCACAGGTTTGAATGCACCTGGCCGGAGCGGAACGGAGGTTCTATCACGAGGCCCGCATGCAGGGCGTGCACTGCACGCAACTGCAGTGCTCCTGTGCCTTACTAAGTGAACGGCGCCGTGACTAAACGGTGCACGAGGTGCGCACTACTACACTTTGTACATTCACGCCTGTTCCATAGTACACAGTACGAGAGATAAAGATAGAAAGAGAGAGATGATACACCCACAGGTATCTCAACAAGATCCAGCGAACTGTGGCAGTCAAATCGAGCTTCATCCCTCCCACACCTATAGTCGAGTATAACATCTGCTACACAGTGCCTGTGTGTATGTGACCGCGTGTGTACAGTCACCGTCCTAACCTAACTGGGTGGTAGTCCTTTTAGTTTCCTTTTGTGTCGTCAGAGGGTGAGACAGAGCGAGACAAACGAAAAGCGAATGCGCTCACGCCGCTCTATTTTACAACCAGCGTTTCACAGACGACTTACACGCACGAAACGCCTTACACGCGTACGATAGAAAATATATATCACAGTGGACTCGCACGGGTTGGTTGACTTCTACGGGAAAGGTTTTCAAAAACAGGCAGCATGAATTACAGTGGGAGCTATGCTATACAGGGTACGGTGATAGTACAGTCTGTGTGTATACGACTGATGAAAAAAAAAAAGTCTCGGAGACGTAGCGAATGCGGGATTGGTTAAAGAAGTGGTAAAACTAACAAACTAGGGGGTACGACGGTGCAGGCCGCTTCGAGATTCATTTCAATAAGCCTTCTTTCGACTGGGTTTCTAACAACAGTGGGCGCACGCCGCTTGGAATCGACACCGCGACCGATGTCGTGCACTCCCCGCAATATACGCAGGGGCCATCCACACGCCAAAAAGCCACGCTTTTCTTTTTTTTTTTCATCGGTGTACACGCGTTCAGTTTTCTATCCTCGTGGTTCATTTCGCTCGCGTACACTCGCGACCGCCGAGGAAAAAAAATTGTAAAGAAGCAGCTACGTGTTTATAGTCTCATCGCTCAATGAGATCCGTCTATAGGGCAACAATAGAACGGGACTCGGAGATATGCGCACATTGTGTACGCTGCAATCGAAATGGAGTGGTACGGGACATACTATACGGCAACGGCTTGCTGACTGACTGGCCAGGCGCGACAAGATCAAAATGACCGGGGCCACCACTCCAAGTTATTTCACAGCGTCCTTTGGCCGAATCCGTCGTTAACTCAACGGATAATCGTGCTTACACCACAAGAACGCGTAAGCAGAAAAGAAGTTCAGGGCTTATAGGTAAACGGCTTGCTCACAGAAAACGGCGTAATCAAGCTTCATCCTCTCGTCAGACCGCCTCCGTTCAGGCTGTTTCGTGTTCCACAACTGATTCGTTTGTTGCTGCACAAGGGGGTTGTGTGGGGGGGGGGGGGGGTTGAGTTTCTAACGGCGCGTCATCCAGCGTCTTAGCTCGCTCTCTCGCGGAACGTAACATTAAAAAGTGTACATAGCAAAGTTCATACCTTGTGTGGGACATATTGATATTCGAGATTCTTATCACAAAGACTATACTCGCGGAAGGTCAACTGCCGAATTTCACTTCGCTGGTGTAGAAAAAGAAAAAATAACGGGCTGATTAAGAAAGACGACCAATATAGTCAAGTCATTCCGTGACTGCACCGCACAGCGGTGTTCAGGTCGGTGTTTCGGTAAGTTAATATGCTTGTACACTTTCTCGTTGCTCTCGTTGGGTCATCCAGCGGCGATGATCACGAAAGCAGTCACTTAAAACTTCGCGAATGGCATGTCAAATACAAAACACAATGCACTCATTATAATCACCATAATCACCACACAAAAGTTTCTTTTTTCTTTAGGAAGACAGTTCCTCCAGGTGAACGGGACACCTATGACAAACAATAGTAATAACCGGTGCAACATGTCGAGGCAGAAAAAGTACGTCACGGCCGATCCGGCTTGTGCAGAGAGGAACCAACAGAAAGACAAAGCCAGGCAGAACAGACGTAGAGGGACGTCTCGAAGAGACGTGCCGCAGAGGGTCATCCACAACTCGCCATGCAGTTTGCGTCGTCCGTCACCAACAGCGCAGCGTCGCCACCAGGGCACTACTCCCCTCCGCGAACCCCGACACAGAGCCCACTTAAACGTCGCCCTTTGGCAACTTCGAGATGCGGGCGGTCGCCGACAGGAGGCGGCAGACCAGGAGCGCGGAAGATGGAGCACGTCGAGGACGATGGTTCGAGGGGGGCGCATCAGGTCACGGCCAAGTGTCCCTGCAGCTGCGACGGGCTCTGCTTGAGCACGAAAGACGAGTCCGACTTGGAGTGCGTGTACGCCCTGACGGCACGCTTCATGAGCTTCGAGGCCGACGGCCGGGGCGCGTGGTTGTTGGGCACCACGTCGGGAGGCTGCACCGAGTAGGCGGCGCGGTCGCCCACCACCGTCAGCGAGGGTTGGCCGTAGATGGACGACGGCCGCGGCTCGTCGTCTTCGCCCGGCAGGGCTGCCCGCAGGTCGTGCAGGGCGAACGGGGGAGCGGCGGGGTAGTGGTTCTGGTGGTGCTTGTGGTTCCGGTGGTGCCGCTGCTGCTGCTGCTGCTGGAGGAGCTTGTGGTGCGGCTCGCCCAGCTGCAGGAACGGGCTGGCGCCGCCGAAGCAGGACGACTGGGATCGCTGGCAGTGGCCGCTGTCGAGCGTGCTGCGCCGGGGCCCCGTCAGGGTGACCGGCGAGTCGGGACGGATGTAGGCGAACTCGAGCGTCGCGGAGGCCGTGGCCCCACTCACGCCGCCGCCGCACCGGACTCCGCCGTTGCGGCCGTTGGCCACTTCGGGCGAGTTGAGCACGTGCTGCGCGTATAGGGAACGCTGCGCCAGAGCCGGAGACACCTGAGAGAATAGGAGAAAGAAATAAGGCGGATACGTAGTTTTGACTATAGGCATGACATCTACGCATGTCCTCTTGAGAGAATGCTTCAGATATGTCCCGAAAATTATGTCTATCATTGACAAGTTGCTTCTAATTAGAATTCTACAAAAAGTGGTGCAGCCTATGATGTTCATTGTCATAATTCCATTCAAACGCTTTTTTTACAGCCACGATCTGTGGACATTGCGCCCTGAAAACGCACTGTCAAAGGTCGTTTGAACATGAGTCGTTATGTAGTAAAGCGAAAGGAAGGGATGTTTAAAAAGAGTCAATCCGACAAGGAACGAATCCTTCCTAACGTTTAATATGATGTGGCTTTCCCTGTCAGGGCGCTGCTGACCAATTTAGCACCATATTTTGTGGCTACAATTTCCTGACCAGAGTATCACGTAAGCTTTGCTTCAGGCAACGTTCGGTTGGCTTTACCAGAAGGATAAGATTCAGCACGCGTCCGAGGCACCTCGAGACGTGTTACCTGCAGGGACCGCGGCGAGGGCCGGTGAGCTCCGAGAGAGCGCTGTCCGAGCGAGATGAGCGAGCTGTAGGAGCCCGTGGGCCGTGGTCCGAGCGGGGCCGACCAGGGCACCGAGCGCGTGTCGTAGTCCACGCTGGCGGAGCCGGGCGCCACGCTGCCGCCGCTGTCGCTGGCCTCGGTGGCCACCGACATCCTCTGCGCCCGGCGCGTGAGGCTGGGCGTAGGGGTGCGCTCGCCCAAGGAGCGCAGCTCGCACGAGGTGGACGTGCGCACCGACGAAGACGGGGACTGCGCCTCCGACGAGGTCAGCGTGTGCTGGAGCAGCAACGCTTGCCTGCGAGTGCCCAGGGGTGTGGAGATCAGCTCGAGTACTCGCGACACGCAATCAACCGGGGCAGGCGCATAGCCAGGAGGGGAGCCGTATAATCCCCCCTCCTGAAATTTGTATGTGGGGAGGGGTGTGTTGTCCAGCTCTAATAATAAAAATAGGTGTCTTTACACGTTTTCAACAAGTGCCCCCCTTCCAAAAAAAAAAAAAAATCCTGGCTACGGGCTTCACTCGGGAAATGAGAAATCTGATTGGTTAGTTAAGTGATCCATTGATTGGTTTAGCGGTACGTGCAGCTGGGCATGTTGGTGCATTTAGATGCATACCCACCACCTTTACCACTTCTGACGCAACAATTCATGTGACCTATATTAGGTCCCGAGGACACGGCGAAGCGAGCACACACAAGGCGCAGATCACGCTCAAGACTTAGTGTAGAATACAGAGTTGAGTATATATATATATACCCTTGAAAACGCGCGACACACCCAAGCTGGAGGATTGACCATGAGCCGGGAAGCTTTAAAACAAAATGGTACCCACCACCGATGACGAAGAACACACTAATGGTGTGGAACATGTATAGAAAACGAATATGGGCCTGAAAAACGTCCACAGTATGAATAGAAACAGCGTAAACCGGGACACGGGCGAAAAAGAGGGGTGGTACGAGTGCTCTGTGGATTGAGTCACCGACTGATTGAGAGACCGACCAGTTGTTTGACTAAGAGATTAGTTTATTTGGATTCGACGTCACATTGTAACGCGGATTCAATGAGCATGCCTCATAGTTCGTTACATGTTAATTTTGAACACATGGCGCTCTTCAGTGCATATAGTTCGGATCGGAGTATTAGGAGCGGTAGCCGTTTTATTTCAATAAAGCGCCTATTGAAGCAAAAACTTCAGCTTCAGTAAGGTTCCATTTGATCACGGCTGCATTTGTTGAGCGGGAAACGAAAAATAGGTAGATAATTGTGGTGAAGAATGACGAGAATGCTAATGAGAAGATACACATCTGGTTTCCTACCCTTCACCGGAGAAATGATAAAGAAAGGCACGAAAGTTAGAAAGAGATAGCGGCAAAAAAAAAAAAAAAACGCGCAAGTAATCGCTGACCGAATCATCGTCAGGCTCGCAACGGCTCCGCCCTTGCGCGAGCGTCACGCAAACTCCTGGCGAAACTTTGCCCGATTCAGTCAGGCCCGAGTGTACACACTGTTGTGCCTCGCCCAAGTTCCACGTGGTCTTCGCGGCCTGCTGGCACCTGGCAGCTGTTGATGAGTCAACCCTGCACCGGGACGGCGACGGACGCGGACAATCGGGAAAAACCACGTCGCCGGCTCCTCTTGACACAAAAGTCGTTGGCCAAGCTTTTGTCAGCCGCCGAGAGCAACACTCCGAAGCAGCGTCGACCCAGCAGCTGTACGGGGTATTCTGCCTTGCTTGAGTCAACCTGGCTGCATCAGGGAGCGACTTTGCGCATGGGATTCCACGTCATCTCACTGTGGTGCCACGCTGGCGCGTGGGGTCTCCCTCACCAAACAGCGAACTGGGCATGCCTTGCCCCTTTCCTAGGTTCAGAGGGAGGCGGTGTTTGGCTTTCCCTCTTCGGGGACGGAGCGGAAGACGACGATCTCATTGGAGTATCCTGCGCATAAATTTTCTTTGCAAGGGATCTTGGGAAGGCGGACGATGTATAAAAACGCTAGCGCAGAGGCGCTCGTGTGTGATTCTCTTTTCACGTTGTACCACGCTACCATGTAAATACTGTATATAAACATTTTTTTCTCCTTCTCCGGCTTCTCTACTCGTCCTCTCCGGGGACTCGGATGGCCCGAGTCCGCACCACGCTACACAAAGGCGCAACAGTGGCTGGCAGCTTATGGGATTCGCCTGCGTCGGCTGCATCGAAGTGGTGAGTGCCGCGTGTTTGCTCTTCTTTTCGCCAGACTCGTTAGCGCAGATGGTCGGTAACGTGGTAGGGTGATTGTGGTAAATTTTGATTCGCAGACCAAGAATTGGGTGGCTCGTGGGCAAAATTACCTTAGAAGAGAAACGGTGTGCATATCTAAGATGGAGAAGTTTAAGGTCCAAGAACTCCTCGAAATTTGTCAGGAGCTGAATATTTCGGTCGGCTCGGTTAAAAGAAAACAACAAATTTTGGAGCACTTGGGAAAAGAGGAAGTGAGTTTAGAAGAGGCCATTGAGGCCAGAGAAACCATTTTGGCAAAGAAAGAGGAGCGTGAGCGCTTAGCCCGTGAACAGAGAGAGGAGGAAATAAGGAGGGATCGCGAGGATAAAGAACATGAAATCCGTCTGAAAGAACTGGAGCTTCGTATGTCCGTGGGAAATCGAAATTCAGGGGGTGGAGAATCAAAGATAAAGGATCTAATCCACACCTTCAAGGCGGGTGACGACATTGCATTATACCTCGTGCATTTTGAGCGAGCATGCGAAAATGCAGGGTTTAGTAGGGAGACTTGGCCACAAAAACTGATATGCGTACTACCAGGCGAAGTGTCCGATGTTATCGCAAGAATGAATAAAGAGGACTCCGAGGTGTATGACAGGGTAAAGGCTGCATTGCTACGAAAATGTCGCCTATCGACAGAGGCTTTCCGCCTGCGGTTCAGGCACTCTAAGAGGGGCAACGAATCTCATTCAGACTATGCCTACCAAATTAGAGCCAACTTTGAAGAGTGGCTCAAAAGCGCGCAAGTCTATGGCAACCATGACAAGGTCATTGAGTTGATGGTACTTGAGCAGTTTTACCGGGGAATTCCCGAGGAGGTAAGGCTTTGGGTGCAGGATAGGATGAAAGACGTAGACATGAACAGGGCAGCAGAACTCGCCGAAGATTACTGCTCACGCCGTAGTCTCCGCAGTACACCACGAACTTCGGAAAAAAATGAAAAGGTAGAAAGCTGGTCGGGAAACCAGGGACGCAAGAGGTTTGCAAGAAATAACTGGAAACCCGAGAATTCCAAGTTATTAGACAGTCAGCAGGGAAAGGACAGTGAGGGGACTAAGGCGGCACCTTCATCAGGTTCAAAGGCGCCTGGTGACATAGCGCATGCGTTAGAAGCGCGGAAGCCAGTTGTTTGCTACAGCTGCGGAGAAAAGGGCCACATGGCCAGGAGCTGTAAGAGGCACATGGCATTTGCCACAATTCAGGAGTCAGAGGATAGCTTAAAGCTGTTGAAGCCTTACATGAGGACACTCTCAGTGAACGGCCGAATGTGTAGGGTATTGAGGGACTCGGCGGCCACAATGGATGTAGCGCATCCAAGTTGCGTATCTTCCGAAGACTATATAGGAGAGTGTGCCTGGATTCGGCAGGTGGCAGAAAAGCAAAGCGTCTGCCTACCGATAGCGAGGGTTGTAATCGAGGGCCCTTTCGGCCAATTGTGTACGGAAGCAGCAATTTCAGCCAACCTTCCGGAGCACTTCCCTTACCTATTTTCAAATAAGTCTGAGGAAATGTTAAAAACACGTGGAGAATCATTTGCCACCGAAATAGCTTGCATGGCCCTTACCCGTTCGAAGGCGCGCGAGCTGACGCAACAGCTGAGCAGCTCACCCTCTGGGGAACAGACGTCCGAGGGCAGTGTAGGAAAACCTGAGGTAGTTGCGACGGAAAATGAGTCTGCCATGCGAGTTGTCGAGACGGAAACTGGGGCTATGGTCGACAACAGCGAGGAAATATCTCTAACGCCCGAAAACGAGGACTTGGTGACAGGCTCGGTGTTAACACCCGCGTCCACCAGTTGGTGTCAGCTAGCCAGAACCGACCGTGCAACGCTAGTGGTCGATCAAAAGGCGGATCTCGCACTCTCTATACTGCTAGATGCCATACATAAGGAAGGTAACTCTAGGAAGAACGTTTCGTTCTACACCCAAAACGAGGTGTTGCATCGCAGGTATGAGAACGCTAAAGGGCGGGTCTACAACCAAGTGGTAGTTCCACTAAAATACCGGCGGAACATTCTCGACCTGGCCCACAGCAACGCCTGGGCGGGCCACTTAGGTATAAAGAAAACGAAAGCTAAGCTGGCTCAGGAGTTCTACTGGCCCGGGTGCTGGAAGGATGTAGAGATGTTTGTCCGTGAATGCGACACCTGTCAGCGGATAGGAAAATCAACAGACAAATGGAAGGCACCAATGAAACTAGTGCCAATAGTCACAGAACCCTTCCGTCGGCTCGTGATTGACATCGTGGGGCCTCTGCCTCCATCTAAATCAGGATATCGGTACGTCCTGACCGCGCTGTGCGTTGCCACCAAGTTCCCGGAGGCAATCGCACTGAAAGAGTTGAGTTCAGTATGCGTGGTGGACGCATTGTTGTCTATTTTTTCTCGGGTGGGTTTTCCCTCGGAGATACAGTGTGACAACGGAAGTGTGTTCACAAGCTGCCTTACGACTACATTCCTAGAACGCTGCGGGATAAAAATCGCGCATAGCTCTATTCACCATCCACAGTCGAACCCTGTGGAACGCATGCACTCGGTCATGAAACGCGTTTGCGAGCTTGTGCTTTGAGCATAAAGTGACTGGGAGGGGTGTATACCAGCTGCGATGTTTTCTCTGAGGTCGGCCCCACACGAGAGTACGGGTTTTAGTCCGGCTGAACTTGTCTACGGCAGGAACTTGAGAGGTCCGCTGCACTTGATACGAGAGTCATGGACTGGATATGGGGAGGACCCTAATGTGGTTTCCTATGTACTGGATTTATTGGGGCGACTGGGGACTACACGCGAAGTGGTGGAGAGCAACATGCGCGCAGCACAGGCGCTTTCCAGGCCCGTTACGATAAGTCAGCTCGAAAGCGAGTCTTTAGAGTGGGCGATGAGGTGATGCTGTTGTGCCCTTCAAGAAAAACACAAGCTGGACGTACAATGGGAGGGACCAGCGACAGTGATGTCAGTGCTTTCAGACACCAACTACGAGGTAAAGTGGGGCCGGAAATGCCCCAAAGTGTATCACAGTAACCTAATGAAACCCTA